GTGAAGTCATCCAGATGCTCTCTTCGGGACATGATGTATCGAAGGATACTACCACAGTTCTTTGCAGCTACTCGTTGATTGAGAAAAAAATTTTTTCATACCCAGACTGCCTCGATTTGCGCGGTCGGCCATATTTGGCACTTTATTCAAGCTCTTCTTCCACCGAGAAAAGTCTAGCTTCCTGTGCATATCCCTTAGGCGAGTGGCAACACACTTTCATTTACTTCCACCCAGTCATTAGTGTTTTATGTTACTTTATCCATCTCGTCCCTAAGTTTTGCACACCAGTGTATAATCCGCTATGTGTGTCTGTGAATGTGTCTGTGTGTGTATGTGTCACGAAATTCATAACACGCAGTGAGACTTTGGTTCCAGGGAGTGATGGAGGAGATGTGACGGGGCCACCATTGGTGGGTGGTAGGAAGTGTTATCAGCTGATAAGATCTGATAAGGGGCGTCCAAAGGGATGGTCACCCAGTCCATAGTGCGGGTCGCAGCAGCAGTGGGACGTTAGTTCCGAGATATGATATAGGCTGTGGGACAGGAACATCATTGGTGGGTGACAGGGAATGATATTGGCTGATAAGATCTGATAAGAGGCGTCAGAAGGGGAGGGATACCGAGTCTATAGCGCGGGTCACAGCAACACTGGGACGTTTGTTCCAAGGTATGATATAGGCTATGGCACAGGAATATCATTGGTGGCAAGAACTGCTAGCAGCTGAAAGACTGATAAGGGGAGTTAGAGTGGAAAGGACAACATACTCATAACGCGGGACACAGCATCATAGGCGTTGATTTCAGCAAATGATATAAATAGGGAGGTGGGGAGGCGACGGCGGGTGACAGGAAGTGATAACAGCTGATAGGGGCTGATAAGGAACGTTGCCGTTGTTGTTCAGTCAAAGTGCTGGAGCCTTTACACTACCAAATTATAGACCAAGTGATAAGAAAGGATAAGGGGACATTCTCACGACATCTATGACCACTACACTGCTATGTATTGAAGGCTCAGTAGGCTAACTTTTCCATTGGCCATCACTTTCCTGATAACAATAGAAAATGAACTCATCCTACTATATATAATGTCGATGTCGACGAGCGGGGGGGGGGGGTATGTAATACGCCTGAAACCGAAAAGTCAGAAAAGTCACGAAAATTTTGATTTGAAAATTTTTTTTCGAACTTTCAGTCACTGATGCGAAGAGATACTAATTGGATAAGGAGGATATAGAACCACATTCAAGCTCTGCTATTGCATTCGCACCGTCACTTGTGTATCTATATCTGTAGGTCTATGTATTGTATGGACGTTATGGCGCGGACCGCAATTATTATAAGCGTTTGCTAAGCAGTGCATGATCCGCAAGGTTGTGTATCCGGTTAATTTATTTCGACCACTGGTGGCAGCGCCGTATGAGCAGCCACAGGATTGAAAGAGTTCCGTTTCTCATTATAGAGCGCGCCTAGCAAAGTCAGGCCAGTTCGGCGCAGCTGAGCTAAAGAGAATGAGGAGAGCTCGGCGTCAGTCGGGCGGTCCGACTAGTAAATACATAATGCATGAGCACAGAGCCAGATTCACTGATTTATGAGTGCATTTGCAGGTGAAAGATTATGACGGCAATCTTGTGATCAACACAACTGAATACCAGCTTGCACAAACGAGAAGAACCAGGAAGTCTCTGATCAAAGAGCTAAGCAATGAAGATCCCATCGTAGTAGTTGGAGCAGGTGACTCCTGCACTTGGTGTATCCTCAAGTTTTTCAACACACGGTCAAACTCTTTTTAGGAGCCTATTCTTTTTGAATGTGTACAATGTTCACTTTCTAAAGAAAACTTTTTGGGAAAGTAGGAAAGTAGAGAGTCAGCTTTTGGTTAATTGAAAGAAAGGAGCAGAATGAGTCAGTCGTAGCACAGCACATTTTATTCCCGCCATTGCATTGCCTTTTATATTTTATTTTATATTATATTATAACAATATTTTCTCTTTTTTGCCTTTACACGGTATTATGCGTATCCGCTTACTTCAATTTGTCAAAGCTTCTATCAAGTGGCTGATGTGCTTCCTTGCCCAGAGTGCTATTGCTCTTTTCTGCCCTATTCTCTTTTCTAAAACACCGCTACGGCGTGGAGGTGTTACCCTTGCTACGTTTCCAGCTGGATCCAGGCAGTGTGCAATTCGTACGTCACCTTCCCAAAAACGCCAGAGACGGATCTAGTGTCATGATGATTGTAAAATGAACTATAAAAGATTTCCCCAGAAATAGAAGCATTTCAAATAATAGATACCTGATAGTGTGCTGAAATCTTCCGTATCCCTCATGTTGCACTTGTTCGGACTTCTCTCAATCTACATCCTATCCACTTTTAAATCAATTTTAAGTTGTGGGTATTTTTCCATGTGGATATAGACACGCCCTCATTTTATAAGAAATCTCACTCCAGTGTACTGCTTTCCGTCAGTAACGTCTCCATTTGGGCCAGGAGACCTCTCTTCCTGTTCCCTTAGCGAAGTCCTCACAGACGCATTAGGTGGTGTGATTCTCGAAGGCTTATTCAGAATTTTTCTGCCACGCCGGGGCGATTCAATCCTTTCGCCTATGCCATCTGAGTACCGGGGTTTACCTGCGGTGAAAGAGTCGCGCTCGGCGGGTACGTGCAGGGGGCTTACAGAGCGCTTGCTTTCGCTCGCCTACGGTGTTGCACGTGGGTGCTTAATGTTGCTATACGCATCCAACAGGCTCTTACTGCCCCTACACGGTCAGCGCTGAGCGGTCACGTACTTGATCCTCTTACCTACGCCCCATCCACGCGCCTTACCTAAGCGTACCTGCTCGCATAGCTGCAGACGACGTCACAAACATATGACTTGAACCAACGACCAGCATACCAAATACTATGAGAAATAGATATTCAAGTACTTATACCACTCATGACAACAACAAAACACAAGATTAATTAAGTTATTTACCCCTTTAATAACGATAAACGATGAAACAATGATAAGAAAGCAACTTAAAAGAAATGATGGTACGGCCCTGGCCTACGGGGACGAACCCTGCCTCAAAACCTACGGACCACGAGGGTGGAGTCTACTAGGCTTCATTGGGAACATCCTCCCCTCCGGCTATCCAGGAGGTTCGGATGCACCTCCGCCTCCAATGGTTACCTGGGATAGTCGGCGGCCTGTAGTGGTGCGGCTCCATTGCGTGGTACGGCTCGTTGATGTTGAAGTGCAACAGCGTGGATGGAAGACGACGGTGACAGCTGGGCGAAGAGTGGAGAGGAGCGACCAGTCGGGACGGCTGCAGGACGTAGACACTCTGTTTCCCTAGCGGCTTCTCGAATGGTCGATCTGCTAAGCGAGCCAAGACTGCCGCGCCGCCGTAAACGCGACCCTTCAGAAGAGTAGTACGAAACTCACGACACCCTTTCCATGGTACTCATCGCTTGAGAACAGGGACCAGTGTTTTGGTTTTGCTGCGCAGTGATTACCATGGAAGACTAGCTGGTATCACCCACACCCTTCTCGGTACTTCTCTATTTGTTTTCCAAGAGTGGGTGACGTAAGCAACTTTCACGAACGAATTCGGTGTTTGTAAGAAACCATTCTAAACTCTTTTTCATCTTGAGTTGCCAAGACCTTCGTGAAGCTTCACGCTTGCATTGTTGTGAGTGTATTTCCCTTTGGCAGTAACTTCCGTTCTCCATTTTCGCGTAGAGCTTACTGTGCTGATCTCACTGACTAATTGAGGCAGTTGCTTAGCAGTCGCGTTCAATGCGTCTACTGCTACTGCATCCGAATCAGGGTGGATGTTGCATGGAATAAGTGGAGAACTAGGTCCAAACTTTGCTCTGGAGATCGATGATCACCAGCAGACGAGGAGACATGTGTGGTCAGCAACTGATGTGTGAATAGAAACTTTGACCTGTTTGCTAAAAACCGTAGCCAAATCAAACGCAGCCAAAAGCAGAAGAGTAGCAATATCAGAAAAGGGAACCCTTCATTGAGTCACTTCATCCGTTTGATCTTTCTGAAACTTTCTAAACTCTGAGAACTCCTTCAATTCTTATTGCCTGCCTAGGTACAAAGACGCGCCCAAACTGTTGCCTTTCTGCTGGAATGGCGAACTGAAATAGAAAGCGCTCTCCAGTTTTTTCTGTTTGCCTTTCTGCCCATGCTTTGTTATATTCACTCTCTTCAGGTATAAGTGCAGCTACTTTTGTGGAACAAGCAAGAGTAAACGGATGTGTTACACCAATTACAATGATCACTCAGGAGTATCTTCCGCAGTACGATCCTAAGGAGCCTAATAAGGTTCGACACATAATTTTAGTCTTTTGAATAATCATTTTACAATGCATCCGAAGAAAACGAAAGGATACTGTAAGCAAGGATAGCATGACTGCGAAGTTGCTTTTTATGCCCATTCAGGTAGGTGCAGCACTTCTGGGGCGCATTACGGGTCCTCCTGGAAATGTAAAAGGAAGCAGCCGTTACATACGCGTTCCAGTGAACAAGTTAGTATAGCGAAGAGGACTGAATTGTAGTAAGACAAACCAATATGGGTTATAGCAGTGGCAATCGTATTATACTATATATAATCCGCTAAGTATGTCCGGTCAGCGGTGTTGTGTTTGATGCTGTGATATAGTGGTGTGTGTGTGCGTCCGTCTGTCTGTCACGAAATTCATAGCGCCCGACCCAGTGGCAGTAGGACCTTGGTTCCAAGAAGTGATATAGGGGGTGGGACGGGAACACTATTGGTGAGTGATAGGACCTGCCAGCAGCTGATAAGATTTGATAAGAGGCGTCTGAAGGGCAGGCCACCGAGTCCATAGCGCGGTCACAGCAACAGTGGGACCTTGGTTCCAAGAAGAGATATAGGGGGTGGGACGGGAACACTATTGGTGAGTGATAGGACCTGCCAGCAGCTGACAAGGTTCGATAAGAGGCCTCGGAAGGGAAGGGTCACGGTCACGAAATTCGTCACGCAGGTTGCAGCGACAGGGATCTCGCTTCCAAGGAGTATTGTAGGACGGGAGCATTATTGGCGGGTAACAGGAAGAAGAGCAAGTGCTAGGACGTGAAAGTAACAAGCTAACATGGAAAAATCAGCTACACCGCTCACAACAACATTGCATCGATATGACCCAGTATCACGATCTCAATGATTTCAACACAATTTATTCCTCACTGCTTACCAGTGACGACATCATGTACGACCGCTAAGCTAGCTCGATTCCAAATGCATGGCGTTTGTTTACAGGGATGTTAATGTTAATTGACTTAATCACTTACCATGACTCTTATCATCCATAGTGAAGACCATTCAAAGCGTTCCAGTGCTGAATGCAGGAGTGCATGATTCCACAGCGAGACGCTTCAAGAATAGAGAATGCATGAAGCAGTAGGATGCTTCAGCGGCTAAGGCAGCGTTCATACTTGTAGCGCTACAGCGTCGC